TATATATATATATATATATATATATATTAGACCACTTTGTGCCTGCAAATAAACTAATCAAATCACATGCAAAGCAACAACAACCCTGCAATTATTGCAGGTTTACAAATTCTGCTACCATTGTGCCTTTCTTATTTAAATGCAAAGTATAAGTCTACCACAACTCCATCTGTTGACACCATTACAAACATCTATCAACAAGAGAAAGGAATCTTTAGCCAGTGTTTTTTATTGTACTGAAAAGGTCAAAACTTAAAGCACACATGGTTTCATATATAACAATACAAAAAAAAAAAACAATGTACAACACAAAGGTTAGCATATATAGTAACAGCCTAGCTGACGAGATCCAACCACATGCAGAAAGCCTGTTACAGGGGAATTTCTCTAAGTCTGCAGCAAATCTTAATAAGAAAGTACACTGTGACATGATTTCTAACACTAAAATTGCTATTCAAGCCATTCTTGTCCAAACAGACTGCAATATTGTAAAACATCTGAATTCTCTCTGGATTTTCCTCGTAAGACCAGAGTCCTGCCAACACTTGTAGAGGCTACGCGACAGTTGTTTATTTTAGGAACACAATGTACCTCTAGATCCTTGGATGAAACTCAAACAAAGTTTCATGAAACGTACATGCATTAAGGATATTTCTCTGGTGAGGCATCTAAATAAGACAAAAGAAAGTATTCGATCAAATCGACTGATGTTGAAAAAGGTACTCTCTCCAACTCCAAGGAATGTAGCCAAGTCAAAAGGAAATTAGTGTGAACTCTACGATGTTGATGGTCAATTCTTATCAACATAAATGCAGCATCAACTACATTCATGACTACTAATGATCTTCACTATGTGTAAACTCCAAGAGAAAACCTGAAAGTAATTTTTGCACCAATCTTCGACCAATAAAACCGGTGGCCCCAGTAACTGACACTACCATCTCGTTTGCCTGGGAACAAATTGAGATGAAAATTTATATCAGAATCAACACAAAAAAAAAGTAATTTAGAAAGAAATAATAAAAAGACAGGTACATGCTTTTTCCTTTGCGCAAAGATACAAGTGCATTCCGGTTGTCTAAAAGATGATTACAAAGGATGCGACAAGCAATGTCATCTAAATATCTAAATTCGCAATAAAAATTTGACACAACTACCTTCCACTAAAAAAAATGCAGAGATGAAATGGAAGATAGAGAAATAGAATAATCAGATTCTCTAGGGCAATGGCACAAGCGTATCGCATGCATTTCCAAACTAGAGGACCACATGCCACATAAACGTGCGAACTTGCAGAAGAAATCGCTGGTGTCCCTAATCCATCACAAAAGAAAACCCAGAAGAAGAACAAGAAAGCCACATAACAAAAGCACAACCAACTTCACTGGAGACATGCCACAAACAGGTTGCAAGCATCCTAATGCACCGCCACCACACAACATCAGACCCTTGCTAACTTGCAGAAGAAACCGCATGATTCCCGGATACACCACAAAAGTGAAACCCAAAAGAAGCACAACAAAAGAACAAGAAAGCCAACAACCTTGGATTCCGACTGGCCGCCGCTAAGACAGAAGACCCTGTATTTCTTGGAATTGCGTTCCTGGAGAGGACCAAACATTCATTAGGCGAGGTAAGAACATGATGAATACAGGAATATACGAGAAAGAGGGACTCTCACGAGGGGGAAGAGCCGGTGTGGGGTAGTTAAGAGAGACGGGGCGATGGTGGAGTTGGCGCGAGACAGCGTCGTCCAACCCAACTCCATTTCTTCTTCTTCCACTTGACGTGGTCACGTTCGAAGCAGGAGGTATCGAAAGCAGAGGAAAGGACGAGAGAAAGCTAATGCGGAGCGTAACGTGTAATACGAGAAGGAAGCGAAGCGATGGGCTGTCTGTGGTGGCCGAAGAGCCACGGCTCGACGGCGCTTGTAGCCACCCACTGGGCTTCTCCCTCCGCATCTATCCACCGCAACGTGTCCGGAAGTACAAGAACTATATATATATATATATATAGGGTCTGCCGTACCGAGCCGTACCACCCGGTACGGACGATACGTACCGGTCCGACAGGTTTTCGGTACGCGGACCGACTGTTACCGGTCTGAGGCACTGTAGTACTATAGCAGTGCACTGTAGCACTGTACTACAGTACTTGGTACAGTGTACCGCTCGGTATATCGTATCGGTACCGAGCCCAGATCGAAATACTGGTACGGTACGATATTACGAACCTTATATATATATATATATATATATATAGCTCTCCATAATTAATGATTATTTCTCTCTTATTTAGTGTAACATTAATTAGTAAATGGAATTCGAATATGTCTTAGTGGTCTTTTAAAATTGATTAAGAGACTAAAATACACATATTTTAATTAAATATTTAATTAAATTCTGCTTAAAAAATTAATGATTAATAAAAAGAAAGTTCTAATCTTGGGAGGACTCTCTTAACTGACTCTGGCGATCTTTAATTTGATTAATTATTTTTTACATAATAATTTAATCTTTGATAAGTAGATAATAAAATAACAACATATAATAAAATGATGGAACCAAAAAGTTAGAAATATTAACATTTTCTTCAAGCACGTGAATGGTTGTTGTTGTTGTTGACCACACACTCATTGGTCAAAGCGGACACGCATAGCCACGCGCCCGAAACATAGGTGACAGTGGCCGTGGCCGGCGGCGGATGTGTTGTTGTCGCTGCCGATGATGCCCCGGACACGGCGGAAGTACCCGCCGTGGCCTGTAGATCGAAGTCGGGAGTCTCATGCATATATAGTAGCAGGTCCGCCTTCCCTGAAGAAGCTGCTTGCTCTCTCCGTAGTCTTCTCTTCTCGCCATCAACCCACCCACGCACAGGAAAAGAGAGAGAGAGAGTATTATTAATAGCGATGCAACGACAGTGATCAGCACGCAGCGATCAGGGAAGACGAATATTGATGTAATATATACAGCCGATAGCAGGTCGGATCCACCTGAGAAAGATCCGAATCCAATGAGAGATGTGGTACATACAGCTGTTAGCGGGTCGGGTCTACTGAGATCGGAACCCAGTAAGAAATCTTTGTCTACCTGATATTTCTAAAGCTATAGTTGATATGGCTATTGCTGCAGACACATATACGTATGCATGACACACAAGTGGTGGGCATGCCGAAACCCTAGACTTGTGCTCAACTCAACTGCTAGCTCTCATTTTTGCCTTGGAAGCGCTCATGATCACGCAGCAGCGATTCCGAAGCCATGGCGGTGACGATTAACTCGGGGAGAATGGCAAGCCAACTACCCATATCACGTGCAGAGGGGTGGAGAAAAAGAGGTGAAGAGTCAATAGAGAGAGAGAGAGAGAGAGAGAGAGAGAGAGAGGAAGAAGGAAGGGTGCAAGCATTCGTGGTCACCTCTCAGGACAGCCCAGCTGTAGGATGGGTGCCTGCCGCTCTGTCTTGTCTTTGATTACGTCCATTTCCACAGACACCTCTTTCTCTCTCTCTCTCTCTCTCTTTATGCTGCTGCTGCTTCTATCTTCTTCACTGCACCCCACTATTCCCTGTAGCCTTCGAGCACTTCCTCAGTAATCATTTCCTTCATCATGGCCTCCTATCTCATGTCATCCCTCCGATCGATCCCCCTTGAAAGAAGCAGGAAGTCTTGGGGGAGAAGAGGATACAAGACGAGGGAAGTCGAGCAAAGGAGACAGTCATGAAACGGAGGATGAGGAGGAGGAGGAAAAGGAAGCTTTTAATTTTTGAGGGGAATGTTGTCTGGCTCGAGGCCATCATCGATCGTTTCTTTCGCAGATCCATGTGAAGGTCTCGGACCAGGCTTCATTCCCCCCAGTCAGAGCTTCCATTTCTTCGGTGTCGGACTTGGTTCTGCCTCTACGTTCCTGCTCTTGTTTTGGGCTTCCTGTGTTGGTTTCGCAAGGATGAGCTGATGGGGGGATTATATACGACTCTTTCTTTTTCCTTGCAGATCTGCATGCTTAGTCTTCTTGTTAATTTGCTGAAGTAGATAGTCTTCTTCAAGCCTTACCTGTGCTTTTTGACTTGTTTGTTTGCTGTTAATGGAGTCTTTTAGACCTTCTCTTCTGATGCTTGTAATTGAGTCTGAGAAAGTTCATCAGCGTGCAACCTATAAATACCCTACAGGTCTTTCTGCAATCGGCATGGTCAGGAGTTACCATTGCATTGGCTGGTGATCAAATTGTATGCTTCATGATCTCCAAGGAAGGTACACAATCTCTCTGGATCTCTCTTGGTTGATGACCTTTGGGTTTGACTGTGCTCAGTTTCCTCCACTGCAGGGAATTCAACATGAAGAGATTTTTACTTGATACGACCAATCCAACCAAATTAATGAAAGCATATGGAAGTGTCAGACAATGCTGTGTAAACATAGGGTCTAATTTCCAACCACATGTCAGCAGATGTTTCTTGTTCTTGCACTTGTAGATCCTAAATCCACTTCAAACTTCATGGTCACACTGCCCATCACATGTTTCTTCTTCTTCTTCTTCTTCTTCTTCTTCTTCTTCTTCTTCTTCTTCTTCTCACCAGCTGCTGCATTTTGTACATTATGCTCTTCTCATTTGTATGTGTCTTCTTGGAAGTGGTGGATAAAATTGCTGGACATGAGCTTAGATTTTCCTGCATTTGAAGCTTCCAATTGTCAACTGCTAAGCTGGTTTTCTCCTTTGTTGATGAAGGTAATATTAATATTCATAATCATTTTAATCCATTCTGTGATGAGAATTTATTTACAAAGGGATGAATTATACTAGTCGGAGTTAACATATATGAAATCAGATATCAATTCGATCCAAAAATTTAAATTACATTCTTATCAATGTAAAATTATACGAATATTTTCATGATATTTTCTCTATTTGTTTGTGGATTGATAGACTCCTTATTGTAAAGAAAAATTAAGTTGCAGTTGGACCTATTACATGGCTCACTTGACTGCAAGTCATCTAGCTTTTTTCTTTCTTTCTTTCTTTATTTATTTCATTGACTCAAACGTTTATCTATCAATCTTGTTTTTTTATGTCATATTGAGATTGTAAATTATAAGAGTTAAAGTTATATCAAATAAGTTAAGATCAATGTAAATGAGATCGAACAACATCAGTTCGATCTGCAATATTAAACTACTAAGTTATTAATCTAACTAGTAATATAAAACTATTTCTTACTCTTGTTCTGATCTCCCACTCACATATAAATACGTTTCTAATATTGTATATATACATATATATTGGTGAGGATGTTAATGGAATATGATATTTTGTGATATGCAATAATGCTAAGGTGTCCTGAAATTTTAGATTACAAGCTTATCTAAAAAACACCAACACAATCTAAAAGTTATATTCTCCTCTATATGCTATTATATTAAATCCGATTGATATTATTTTTTTAGTTATGTGGGATTAGTCCTTAGACTGCACTTCATTTTTATGTGTGACCCAAACGATTGCATGATACATTTGGGTTGGATTTCACATGTCAAACAATGTGAGAGTGCTTATGTGTGAAGTTGATGTCCTGTTTTCCTTTCTTAGCAGCATACTGTTCTCGAGTCATGGCTATTGACTCTTCATGCTCAAACGAAAGAGTGGAGGATTAGATAATAGTGCATCAAATAAGACCCAGTCATTTGCGTTTGGACCCAAAAAGAACTCCAAAAAATAGGTGAAAGGCTTCGTGGAGAAGGGAACGAAGCCAGCCGAAGCTGGCACGCAATTGCGATACAAAGAAGACGACGACGACGACGACGGATGAGCCAAATGCCGACGAATCACAACAGCCAACTCCGACACTGTTCACAAGAAGAAGAAGAAGAAGTGATGGTATTATTGACAGGACGCCATGTTACGAGACACTCGAGGGAACGAATGCAAGCACGACCCGGCTCGCGATAGTTCCTGGGGCTGTAACGACGTCAGACGATGATACTGACGTGGTGGAGTTGGTGACGCGTCCCCGTCGTTTGGCCCAACCAACCCGGGGTTTCAGACGGGTCCGGGTCCCACAGGGACCCACGCCACGCAGGTCGATGCTAACCGCCATCGAGACTACGGGCCGTGTGTGATGGATGGATGAAAGCAAACACAGAACACACGAGGTGATCGCCCCACCTGCGCGCAGGTGACCGCGGACAGCAACGCTGATCCCATGGACTCACTCCTTTACCTCCCAGAAAACAACTATCAGGATCCGGATCCGGATCCGAAACCGAACATAAAAAAATGAGTTGGACATCAAACGAACGAGGCGTGGACGGTGGACGCCCAGCCGCTACCGCCACGTCGGCCCACACATCGGCCGACACGTCCCGCTACTAGAACACACCCACCGCCTGCCAGCTGGCCCCGAGCCCCACATCCACACACACACAACACCCCCCATTTCGGTGCCTGATCCCGTGGGTTCTCTAGCACGCTTGCCGACCTCCTGTAGTGCTGGGACCCACATCTGCCAACCAACAGAAGGACCCCAACAACCCGACGGCTGTCTCGGCCTGCACAGGTGAGCCACACCCGTCACCTTCTGCTGTTGCTCTCCTAGTCCATCCGATGTCCCACTTTGTCCTTATCAGCAAACCATCCTCCCATCCCTTCTCTACACTCACCAGAACTTACGAGACTCCTATAACCTTTATATATGAACCTCAAGAAGGTGAAAACCCTACATCTCACCGTTCTTATGTTAAAAGATCGATTTAAACAAATCACATGAGCTATCGAGAATGAGGGAAGTGAGATGAACGGGGAATTCCTGAGGCGTGGAGGGGAGGGGATGCTCCAAAGCGCCAAGAAGTGGCGGTGAAAGAGAGAGATTTTTAGAAGCTAATTTATCCACGACAACGGCTGCCATTGGCTCGGTTGTCCCATCGAGAAATCACCACGACGGTCATGCAAGCCCACCGTCGTCCCCATCGCCCAACAGGTGTAATGGCCTCCCGCGGACCAGTTTGTCTCCACGCCTTTCTACAAAACTTTCACTTGGCCGCCGCATTTGGCAGAGAGAGAGAGAGTGAGAGAGAGAGAGAGATGGGGGAAAGCGAGGAGCGGTGTGGAGGAGAGGAGGAAGAAGAGTGCTGCAGCAAGAGCAGCAAAGGTGACAGGACGAGGAGGTTCAGCGAGGAGCAGATCAGATCGCTGGAGTCCACGTTCGAGGCGCAGACGAAGCTGGAGGCCCGACAGAAGCAGCAGCTGGCGCGGGAGCTCGGCCTGCAGCCCCGCCAAGTGGGCATATGGTTCCAGAACAAGCGGGCGCGGTGGAAGTCGAAGCAGCTCGACAGGGAGTACCGCGCCCTTCGAGCCGACTACGACGCACTGCTCTCCCGCTTCGACTCGCTCAACAAGGAGAAGCAGCTCCTCCTCAAGCAGGTACAGCCACCACATCTATACCCTCCTCCTTTTCCATGCTGCTTAGTGGCCCTCTCTCGAATTCCACGCAGCGGCAGGGGCTGACGGAACTGCTTGATAAGACGGAGAAGAACGATCGAGATGCTGCAAGCAAAGAGAAAGAGTGGCCAAGGCCGTCACTAAAAGAAGAACCGGATCTCGAGTTCGCAGGTTGCACAGAAGAAGAAGAAGACGACGACGACAATACGTTGAGCTACCTCTGCGAGGACGAACCAGGCCCGCGCGCCGTACAACCGGCAACCTCCTCCGTGCCTTCGTCGGCCGAGAAACAACTTCATTCCGCCACCGGCCGGGCCGCAGCCCAGACGTCCTGTAGCAACTCACCGTGGTGGGAATTTTGGCCTCTCAGTGAATGAATCGACCCAAGCCGCAGAAGGAACAAAAAGGAGTTGGAACACTGTTTTTGTTCTCTTCAAGCAATCAACATGCTGCTACGAATCTTCTGTCGATCTATTGCCATTTGTACATCTGCTACAAATAGAGTGACATGTAGTACACATTTGATTAGTGTGATTAAGCAAGCATTTGATTCAACCAAACATACCTCGATCTGCAATTTGCTAGAGATGATGCTCAAATAGACAAGTTTCAGATGTGTAAGAAAAATGCATTTCGATCAGATGCTTGCACAATTTAGATCAAAGAACTCCAATTTATTAGCTTAATTTATAAAGTCCATCTAACACCCACTAAGCAATCTGACTCATTCCTGATCACTTCTGCATTCCGGGCAAGCTTGGTCAACTGCTACCAAAAACCACATCCAATTTCTGAACTCCATTGAGTCATCATCCTTGAAAGTCCATCCAGTCCTGCTCATTAAGAATGATGACTAATACCACTAAGAATGATCACAAAGAACACACCAAGGCATCCTGCAGCTCAATGTTTATTACAATGTAACCAAAATATAGTAAAGACACCAAGAGTCTAGTACTGCCTCCGAGTAATATTCTTTTGAAAGGATATCCTGGATAAGAATTCATATAAACATAATAGCTACTTTGTTACAGTATCAGTTCTTTGCCAATTTTCACAAATCATCGTCAAGTCCATATGATTCACATAAAGACAGCTTAAATAACATAAAAGTAGGACCTGCAAAAGGGTAGTTTTAAGTGTGAGGTACTAAAGGGGCCAAAATATAATGTAAAGAAGATGTGTTAATACTTCCAGTAATCTAGGATAGACAAAATCACTTTTAAGAAATACCAACTACCTAAGGAATCAACATCTTGCGTCGAACACAATCAACACCTCATCATCACGATTTAATATTGCAGGCAGTACAGGAAATTAACATCATTTTTTGACAGCAAGCACAAGAAGTGGACAGATCAATGATGTTGACTCGATTTTCCTTGAGAGTCTTATTGTGTGTGTGTGATGGAGGTGATTATAACCTATGAAATCTATTGTAATTTCCATTCAGGTAATGCAGAAAAAAAACATCAAAACCTTTTTTCACAGTCAACAAATATGGCATAGTAATACGATCATGTGGTCAATTAAGGAGGTCAACTTCAAATTTGCACTTACTGCTTGTTATCAGCCATTCATGCACTTCTTGATAAGAGTTACACAAGTTGTTTGCAGGAATACAAGAGGAATTATTTGCATTTAGCATTCTGAATTACTCATTTATTATAACAATGTACATTCTCTTATGATAATTCATGAATTCAACCTTCATTCCCTACAGCCAGTATAATTGATAGGAGACGGAATATGATATTCTGATAACCTTTTTTGTCACACATCACCTTTCTCCTATGAGGATGAACGGAGGACAGTGGCGGTGGCAGTGATTGACCACGTCGGAAACATAAATTATGGTGGCAATGCATGTCGATTGACATGGTAGTTCTTGGTTTTTGGAGTGTATTTGACAAACAGGAGGTGCAGTAAGTCCTATTCACTGCAAAAACTGATCTCAAACTCAAAGACAGGAGAAGGTTACCAGATAGATCGACTCAGAGCAGACACCAGCGCAGTTAGACATCTGAATCACATGTCCATGGCTGGACTGTTGTTCAACTTTTGAAGAGAAGAAAGTGTGGGTCTTCTTGATGGGTTGTTGCATGAGGTGACTAGGTTCCTGTCATGAGCATTTGCATTAGTGACTGAGTGCTAAACAATCATCTTAACACTGAGCCTATACTCGCACATGAACATATATACTCATGTGTAAGAAAATGAATTTCATCTATGGAAGCCTAGAAATCCATTCGAACATCACTTGGGCCAAGGAAAAAAAAAAGGAACAACAATCTTATTTTTCATTTTTCATGTCCAGTCACACCTATAAGCTATAACATATATCCAGAATTTAGGAGCATCAATATTACAGATAGCGACATTTGGAACGCTGCATTTTATTGAAAATATTATGCATCCAAGAAAACTGATGTCAGTTTGCACTACTATTTCCACTGCTATCTTTTTAATCTTGACATAATTACTCAAAATCAGGGGTAACTAGCAAAACGCCAAACTGATAAGCATTACAACATTGAAACTAAAGTTTAAAAACGAGGTGCCTGATAAACCAAAAGTGCTACAACTATTTCTTTGTTCTATAAAATGAAATTAAACCCTCCTCACATTCCACAACAACATGTAAAAAAATAAAATTACTAGATTTAAACTATTGCCATTAAATAAAGTGGAATTCAAATTAAAAATAAGGCAAGCGAAGTGATACAAAAAATAACTCTATTCTTTGTTAGTCCTACCCATGAGAGAGGGGAGCACATGAAAAATGTAATTAATTCTTTCGTTTCCTTGGACCACTGGCCATCCGCGGGGAGATTCAGGTTTAACACCGATATTATAACAACAAATCCATTAAATCTAAGTGTAGTGCTTGGTGTATTGATTTGTTTCAGAAAGGGAGTGTGTGCAAGTTGTGTATTTCAAGAAGAGGTTAGATCCATCCGATTGCATGTGACCATTGCCTCAAGTTCTTGGAAATCTTTCTCTGTGAAACTATTAACTTGGTTACACTTCCATATGGTGCAATTTGCATAATCTGGTGTGAGAAAATGATCTGTCGATCTCACTCCTGGGAATCCAAGTGAGCCCTGGATTTGGAAAATGGGTTTAGAACAGGGCTTAACACTTGTCACTTCCCAATACTTGGAAGCTAAAGTTGATCACGAGCTTCGTTTTTGGTCAGATGAGTGAGTGTGTACAACATTCATTGATTTCTTTGAACGTCACAAACTCCATGACGGGAGTGCAGTTAGAGTGTCGATCAGCAATCCAGGCAACAACAAAATGTAAGCAGGGAAGAAGAACATACCAGCACCAGCAAACAAACGGGGTCCGGGGAAGAGCATGGACTCCCATCGCCTCCAACACCTCGAATGCCAGTAGTATGGACTCCGAGTTGAAGTGCCGCTCCCTGTAAGAACCCTTCTGCAAAGCCTTCCGCTCCTAACATCCCCCAAACTATGCCAAGGAGAACAAGAAATCCGACCTCTCCCACAAAGATCAGCCAAAACCCTCGGAAAGAACGATGACAAGCACCCCGGTGAGCTTCTGAATCTTCGATGTCACCGGAGAAAAAGCTGGTGGCGGCGCTCCGACATCTGCCCCGGATGGTCCGGCCCAACCGCCACCGGCAGCCCAAGGTACGCCGCCCGCAGCGTGTCGAACAAGAGGGCGCTCAGCATCATTGGGTGGACCAACGCCAAGCTCCGCCCTTACAATATCCCGAATCCCTCGCCCACCGCCAGCGCGTCCTTCCAACCAAACAAAACCAGCGCTCCAACTGAGACCTGAGATCAAAGTCTAGAGCGGCAGTGGTTTTCCTCTTTTGGAATAACTAATACATATAAATAAAGTTAGTTAATTCCAATAAAACATTACGGTGTCGTGGTGTAGTTGGTTATCACGTCAGTCTAACACACTGAAGGTCTCCGGTTCGAGTCCGGGCGACGCCAATTATGTCTTGAATTTTAACTTTTGCCTCTCTTGTAGTCCAACATAATTGTTCTTTCAAAAATAAATTTGGAGAGAGGAAATGAAAAATCAAATGAATTATAAATAAATATAAATTTATATCAGAAAATCAACTTATAATTTGGAGAGAGGAATTCGATTCCTTTGTAATTTTCCCAATCTATATTTTCATTTGCCAAAAAATAAACATTAATTTGTTAGTGAGCCCAACTTGAAAAATCCCATCTTGAATGCGCCTAACTAAACAAACTAATCATTTCCCAATCAATATTTTCTTTGATTTTGCCTCTCTTTTTTTTTATAGTGGTGTTGATCACTCATAAATTCAGAATATATGTATTGGTCCAAAGAAAAAGTTCTCATCACCATTGCATTTCTTCAAGAATTATAAACATTGTGTTTATTTTTATAAAGAAAAAAAAAGAGTTACATTTAACTCAGAAGTTTATATATTGGTTAAAATAATAAGGACTTTTAATACATATATTCAAATCATAAATTTTTACCATTCAAATAATCAACCTTACAAATCTTAAGCACACAAATTATACATCAAACCAATAATTGTTGCATCTGACCACTGTTTTGTGCCTTTAGAGCTCTCATCTTCCAGCCTTTGATCTCAACCTTAAAACCTAACAAAAGCATGGAAGAGATGAGGGAGGAAAGAAGAGGGATCATGTGAACATGGTTGAAGCTTCTTACCCTTGTCAAGGCAAGCAATGAGAAGGAAAGCAAGGCGACTTGCTCCATGCCTTGATGTGATTCCCCAAGATGCCCTTGGCCATCTCCCTGCTCCTCCTGTTGCCTTCCACCTGCACCAGCATAAAGAGCTTGGCCACTCCCCCCACCTGCAACATCTCCTCCATCACCCCGCCGCAGTACCTGCACACCAACTCCAGCACCATCACCGCCCTCGCCGTCACCCCGCTCGACAAGCTCAGAAGCTTCGCCACCACCGCCGCCACCCCCGCTGGGTGCCCCACCAGCTCCGCCCTCCCCTCCGCCCTCCCGCACATCAGCTCCAACAGGTACAGCATGGCCTCGCACTTCCGCCTGTCCACGCTCTCCTCCACCAGTAGCTCCACTGTCACCGCCACTGCTCCGGCCTGCACCGCCTTTAGCCTGTTCTTACCATGAGGCAGCACCTCGATCATGATGGCCAGTAGAGCCATGGTCGTTGCTCGGTCTGCGTTCTGGTCCTTCAGTATCTCCACCACCCCCTCGATCAGATCCACAGGTATCCTTGCCTTGAGGTTGTCACCGACGACCTCGTAGATGGACCGGAGGAGAAGCGCTGCGTGAACTCTTGCCTGGTGCGAACCGCGTTGCAGCAGTGAAGCCAGATTTGCAATGAGCTCACCGTTTCGGCGCTCCGAAACCTCTCTGAGGGTCTCAGGCGATGGTTTCAGGAGGTGCAGCACGCTGGTGGCTTCGTCGATCAGCACCACCGGGTCAACAAGGTTCCTCAAAGCTTCCGATGGCTCGCACCTGGCAATCAGAGATGCGACGAGAGAAGTCACGCCGGCTTTCTCCATGTGCGCCGCGTTGCCGTCGTCATCTAATACCAGTGACCTGATCGTATTTAGAGCCTTCGCCTTGCCGTCGGCACGAGCCGCAGGGTCACCAAGATCGCCGAGTATCTCCGACACGTCGAATCCAGGCTTCGTCGCGGCAACCGCAGGAGCAACGCATCCGGTGGAGCAGGCAGCCCAGGACTGGATGAGGCGGAGGAGGGTGGCGTTTGGGGTGAGTGTCAGATCAGTGAGATGCTGGTTGGTTACCGGGCATGTGTGGTGCTCGTACACGGTGAGCCATCGGTCGATGCTGGCGCGGTCGTAGGAGACGCCGGTGGAGATGGTAACAGGGTCCTCCATGACCTGAAGAGAGATCGGGCACAGGAAGAAAGGAGGTACGTTGTCCAAGCCATCCATTCTCTTCCCTTCAACTCTCTCTCTCTCTCTCTCTCTCTCTCTCTCTCTCGGTCGATAGCTAGCTAGAGAAGTTTGAGGACGAAGAAGAAGAAGATACACATACAAATGGAAGATTGTTGGAGGGTCAACAACATTTGCAGCTGGATCGGGGCGTGTAATTGTTCTTCCACGTAGTTGATCGATGGAGCTGATCACATGAACGCTGTGGGTTTGTAGCAATCTCTTTTGACCAGCTTTGGCTACTTGGATATGCCATTCGACTTCATCGATCCCACGAATGTGATGCAATAACACCGCCTGCGGGGCGATGATCGCACGGCTAGGGAAGTGCCGACTGGAATCCGAAGGCTGACCGTTGACTGCGGAGAAGTCTTTTAAACATATACTCGTGGGACCCCGATGATACAGTAGGCCCATCTCTTTTACCAATCAGAGGCTGACAAGTCTGTGAAACGTAAAGAAAAGGGATAGAAGAAAGAGACGTGGAACGACAAAGTCGTAGTTTAAGCCAATAAATGCTTGCCTGTCGAGAAATTACGGCTGGAGAATGGTCAAAATGTTTGACCATAGCATAGTCTGAGCTCTGAGATGATCAAGTCAAACGCACCTCTCTTCCTCTCCTGCACTCAATGCTGTGAGACTTCTGCTCCGAGCTCTGAGATGAACTCCGAAATGAATTCTAATACCTGAGATGTGATAAGTGGGAATCTGCAAACGCTCTCCAAATAGTTCTATAGAGCTATTCTTTCAACCTCCACCGTATCAAATCACAGGAAAAGAGAGCTAATATCTAATGATGCAATATCAATCAGCTCAACGGATCAAGAGAGCCTGATATAGTTGACATATGAAAAGAAGCACACTTTAAATTGCTTTGACACGATCAAAGCTTTGAATCTTCTTCTTGCTGAAGTTAACCTTGGCATATAATTACCTAAATTCACGGACTGTAAATTCATAATAAATCTGTTCGTAGCAACAGGCTGATTTCTTAATGCCATTCGCTTAGACAGATAGATGCGAGGTTAAGATGAGAGAGAACGCATTCTTTGACATGCCTTCGTAGTATATTGATTACGAGCAGTCTGATGGTCCCGAGCTGTGGAGTTAGACAGTGATTGACTTCTGTATTCATGCAATAACGATATATTATTTCTATTGATCACTACCAACTTGGCTTCTTGAGAGGAAAAAAAACCATTCGACATTAATCAGTTCTGTCTTCAATACAAAGACTTCTTATGCTCAGTGGACCAGTGGATTGTGGAGTCGTCTGTTGCAGTTGATGCTTTGAAGTCGTAATTACCCTCTATTCGTCAGATGCAGCGTCTCACTTCGATGCTGTTCGTAAAACTATTGGAATGGCCCGTTTCATGCAGCTGCTCGTCAGTTTCTTTGTGCTTCCATGGTCAACGTTTGATCATCTGCAGCTACACGACGATCCAGAAAAGGAGAGGTAAAGAAACAAGGAATGTGTTCTACGTTGCTCAGAATGTATTCTTCGAGATGTTCTTCTTTTGAGGCCTGAAAACCATCCAAAGTTGCCTTGCTTTCGGCCTCTTTGATCGCTTCGTGATGCGTATTCGTGTCGTTGTCGACATGGGCACAGCTTCTTGTGTGAAGCTCGGCAAAGCAGCTTGAAGAAGACCTTTATCTTACAGCTGAAGCTCCAAAAGCATGGCTTTTTGGCCTTTGACTTACGTTCTTTGTACCTGCTTTCTTAAAGCAAGGAGCGGCATGTGAAGACTCGATTTGGATTGGCCAATCTATCGATACAGTTCCATACAAGGGAAGAATCGATGCTCAAGATGGTCGTCGCCTTGGATTCCTGGTATCATTGCCTGAACGATACTACCCAGAGAAGAGCGGAGATGATGACGATGACGGTAGGGACGTTCACTTCCGGAAACCTTATCTGCGTTCCTCGCGCTCCACCCATCATTTCTTGACACGCGTCCAGAAACTTCAAGAGAACGGGGGTGGAAGCTTCCCGCACTCTCCCGCCTTGTGTTGCCGTTCACCGGACGGACGAGCGCATAAGAAGCTTCTATGCGACGCATCGTCTTCCTTCCGATCCGCTCCATCACACCCTTCGATGGCTTTCCAGTTTCGCCTGCCCGATGCGCACAACGTCCTCCGCTGTCCAAGTAGACGTTTATCCATGTGAGAATGTTCCACAGCCTCTCAAGTGACACCACTACCACCCCTTCGTGTCTCTCTCCTCCATCCTTGCGAAGAAATCGAGGCCATTTCGTCGAGCGAGTGGTGGCCGCGCGGCGATGGGCTCTCCGCCCCTTCCTCCGGCGTCGGAGAAGGCCGATGAGACGACTTCAGCTGCGGCGGGGCACCCGGAGGGGCAGCGGCCGCTCCCGACGCCCTTCCTGACGAAGACGTACCAGCTGGTGGACGACCCGTCGGTGGACGACGTCGTCTCGTGGAACGAGGACGGATCGACGTTCGTGGTGTGGCGACCCGCCGAGTTCGCCCGCGACCTCCTCCCCAAGTACTTCAAGCACAACAATTTCTCCAGCTTTGTTCGCCAGCTCAACACCTACGTCGGTGTCGGCCGCAAGATTCGATTTTGTTCGCTAAATGCTTTGCACATTTTGGATTCTTTTTGTTGATTCTTCCTTTTTGGGGACATTTGATAGGGGTTTCGGAAGATCGTGCCGGATCGATGGGAGTTCGCTAACGATTGTTTTCGGAGGGGAGAAAAGCGCCTCCTTGCCGACATCCACCGCCGCAAGATCAACCCGGCGGCAGCCGCAGCCGCGCCGATCGCGGTGGCTGTGCCGATTAATAGGGCTGTGTCGCCGGCGAACTCGGGGGAGGAGCAGGTCCTCTCCTCGAACTCCTCCCCTGGCCCACAGACGCCGGCCACCACCGGATCCAGCGGCCCAACGGAGCTGAGGGAGGAGAACGAGAGGCTGAGGAAGGAGAATGCGCGGCTCCTCCGGGACCTCGCCCAGATAACGAACGTGTGCAACCAAATCGCGGTCCTGGTTTCCAAGTACGCGGCCGATGGCGGCAGCGGCGGCGGCGGCGGGACGACCGAGGTGGGGGCTCCGCCGCCGATTCTGGAGCTGATGCCGGCAACACGGGTGGAGAAGCAGGAGGAAGAGGACGCGGACACCGCGGCGGCGGTTGAGGACGGGGTGATCAAGGTGGAGGAGTGGACGAGCGAGCCGCGGACGCCGGCGGGGCCGAGCCCCAAGCTGTTCGGGGTTTCGATTGTCGGGAAACGGGTGCGGGAGGAGGAGACGGACCAGGATCCGACGCCGGCTGTGAAGCCGGACCCTTTTGATCCGGGGCCGGACCCGAAGGAAGCGACCTCGCCAGAGCGCCACCAGCGGTCGTGGGTGGTGTACTGCCCTCGGCCGATACGAAGGTCGTGCAACGTGCCGGACAACCCGACGGATCGCGCACGTGATGCGAGCTGATCGCTCCGGATCATACGAGATGCCGGAACGGATCTCTTTTAGATTCGTGCTCGCTAATTTAATTTAGTCTCATTTAATTTAATCGTGCCTCTTATCCACTGTATGATTTCCACACGTAACTCGCTACTGCACTTGTCTGCCCACTTGGGAAAAAGCGTGGAACAATGATGGCAGCTAATGATAGCTTTCTCTACCTGTCCGATGCAGTGAACCCTCAGATAATATTTGCTCCTTTATTTTCTTGGGTGTTTTCTTTCCTTCTGTTTTGATCTCCGAAATAATTCCACCGCTGGAATTCGACGACACGGTCGAGGGAGTATTGAGTGTCGTGTTTGGTCACGTGGCACATCGGAGGACTTTTCCTATGTCGGTCGGACCCATATCAAAGATCTTCATCAATCACACGCATGAACGAATCTGGAAGTAAATCGTTTCCCACGGCCTGCGTGGCTCACTCTCTCCACGCAACGTCCTCATCCACACGGAGTCGGAAGAGTCAAACACCGACGCGTGTATAATGATCCATCCGCCCACCACCTCGGCCTTCTCCGACATCTGCTCCTCCTCCTCCTCTGTCCTTCTCAACGCGATCGCGATTACCATGGCGTACGCCGAGAAGGGCGACGGCGACGACGAACAGATCGCGCTGGAGGTCACCGTGCTCTCCGCTGAGTCGCTAAGGAATCGCTCCTCCCCTCTTCTCCCCGGCCGCCGCCTCCGCCCTTACGTCATTCTCTCCTCCTCCTCCGCCGCCAACCGAGAACAATTGGCGCCTATCTACCGGACCCGCGTCGACGAGGGCGGCGCCCACCACCCCACCTGGCGCGACACCCTCCGCGTCCCCATGGACGCTTCCTTTCTGCGCGGCGGCGAGCGGGGGCGGGGGAAGGAGGGCGGCGCCGCGGTGCACGTCAGTGTCCTCTCGAAGCGCCCCTTCCGTGGGCCCTCGCGGCTCGGGTGGTGCGAGATTCCCGCGTGCGACGTCGTCGACGGGCTTTGGCCGCCGTCGGCGCGGCGGCGCCTCAGCTACGCCCTCCGCCACCCCCGCCACGGCGGCCACGGTCACGGCGTCATCCACATGGCCGTTCGCCTGTTGGGCCCCCACCTCGAGCGGCTGGTCCCACCGGCTCCGCGGCCCGCACCGGAGCCGGGGTGGTCCGGGACGGCGATCGGCATCCCGCGCGCGGCGACCGCAGCGGCGTTCCTGGTCCCGGAGTCGGGGAGACACGTGCCGTACTGGCGTAGGTGATAGACTTTGGTTGGAAAAAGGAGCGGAAATAAGATCTCGGCGCCGCAATGGAGGACGCCGTCGTCGGAAGTGTGTTTGACGCCGAAAGAATGGTGGTTTGGTTTGGAGTGATGTCAATAATTTTCTAAAAGCAATTCCGCCTTTTAATTGTGGAACGATTTCACTATCCTTTTGATTATCCTTAACTGTGGTCACAATTAAAAAAAAACTCAAATTATCTTCATCAGCTTTTTCACCTATTTTAAATTTTTTTTAATATTTTATTTGGCTCATTTATAGTATTTTTTTAATAGTATTGATCTATTTTAAATTATTTTTTATGTTCATATTTTCAATATTTATATTTTTATGTTTTCATTAATATAGTAAAAATAATATAAATTAATTAAAAATTTATTATAAGTGATATCATAAATTAATCACATAGAGTTGCTACACCTGTTATTACACGATTGGTGTAATAATGGAGGTGTTGAGACTCAACCGAAACCGTCACCACTCGACGCCAAACTCGAGATTTGATAACCGTCTCCATGTGGCACTCATGGAGGACGAACAAATGGCCTCAACAATCGATCATTTTAGGTCTAAGTGACAAGAAGTTGCTAAATCACAAGCCATCTGGAACTGATGTGTCCTCCACGTCACACTATAAGTGTCGACCATTGTGGTCAGTTGGTCGACTACGTCTCCCTAATATGTTGACCAAATGAGGTTGGCACATTAGCTCATAAGAGTTGATACGTTAGCCACATAAATTCGGCCAAATCATACGCACCCTCATTTCATGGGTTGAGAGAGAATCATGTCGGGAAGTACAATTGGGGTGATGACGTGCAACATCGGAGGGGGAGGATATGTTAGTCCAACATTACCGGTCATAGCAAAGACTAGCATAGAACAACAAAGAATGCACTAGCTAACATGGTCATGCATGGTAGAGACCGATGAAGAACGACAAAGAATGCACCGACTAACATAGTCGTGGAGATCGACGAAAAATAATGGAGAACACAATGACCAACATAACTTGGTGTGGTGGAGACGATGGAGAACGATAGAGAACACACTGGCTAACATAACGAGAAGTAGTGGAGATCGACGAGCAACGATGAAAAACGCATTGACTGACAAGGCTGGGTGTGGCAAAGACTAATGAAGAACGATGGAGAATGCATCGGTTGACACAATTGGGAGAGGTGGAGACCGACGAAGAACACATCCACCAACATGATCGAGCAAGCAAGTGTGGCATGCACATCTCTTCCTTCAACAGGTGGGAAAATTCGAGTAGATCCGACATGATCTGACAAATGGGCATGTATCGTACTCGCGTATTGACAAATTTGATATAGCAAGTTTATCACATGTCGTGTGCCCCCGACGAAGATTGTAGTGGATTTGGCACAATCTTCACGATGATCCAAATGACCACTATATCGGGTGGATCATGCCATGTGTCCTAAGAGTGCTATGATGGACTCACATGCCCCACCACCTTTGTTGTGCTTCGAGAGGCAAACAAGCGAATGGGAAGTAGAACCATCACTCTCGAGCCCTATAAATAACGGCCTTCGACCATTATTGCTCTTCACTTCTACCTTCAACTCATACACTCTTGGATAATCAACTTGGACTTTCTCCTCCAACAGATTCAATGTTCGAGATGTCATCCTTCTCCTCTTTCAATGACTTGAACCTAGATATCTCACTAATTCTATCTATCATCCTTGGTGTGAATGACAAAAAGTTTATCTTTGGATAAAGCCGAATCGGTTTTGTCGACGTTTGTTGCCCCCTCCAAGGCAAACACATCATGCAGTGTGGTTCCATCCCCAATAGCGGAGTCTTTTGATTTGGACTCTGTTGAATAACTCTCATCATTGAATCATCTTGCATAACTCTCCAAGAATTTTTCCTCCTCTTGCCTAATGGCCAGGAGCAAGGTAGTGGGCTTCTTAGCGAGTTGATAAGTGATAAAATTAAATTTGAACTCCTTATCCAGCATCCTAAAGGAGGAAATTGACTTTGAGAAGAGCTTGGCGAATCACTCGTGTGCAACTTCACTTGAGATTATTGAGAAAGTTCCATAAATTAGTAAGGTAGTAATTCCGAATAACATTATTTGAGACATAAAAGTTATTCCAAAATATTAGATTTTCCTTCGTTCAAATCAAGTGATAGGAGTCAAAAACCTTAGAGGATCGGTTCCTCGATGTTTTTGATGAAAGGTTATTGCATGTAATGATTCCACTTCAACTGTTTTTCTTATTTTGTCTCCCTTCAAATATCTTTTAATTATCAATTTATTTTATTAAGTTGATCTCAAACTTCAATTGGGAGTTTGGTTGACTAAGCAATGGATTAGTTGGAAAACTTGACATTAGCACTTGGACTAAGGAGGGGATTGTACTTTATGGTGCAGCGAATGAGGTAGGCGGTGGTTGTTGTATAACTTGGGAAAGTTCGGAAAGGTAAGGGGACTACAAACTGGACTATTTCGGTACTTGTTGAATTAGCATGTTATTAAAAACTTTGATTGGTATAACAATAGTGGGTTGAGTTGGATTTTACTGTAGATGGTGGGTCGCTGAGTCTTGAAAGAATCAACCGAAAAGATTTAGCTCGAGTATATGAGGTGGTGGGTTCAAGCCGATCAGACACCTCAGGTTGGATTGGGATCATCAAGATTGGCGAGGTTCGACATTGGAACGATTAGAGCTATCGAATTAGATCTGTTTTGAGGATTCCACTCAGGATTTAGTCGATCAGGGATAATAAAGTTTCCTTGAGACATGATTAGCCCTCCTTCTAGCACCAATTTATTATAGCATATTATGATTGTTTGAGATAGTCAACTCTCCTCCTTGTTAGAGCAGATCAAGCATCGTTATTAATCGATCTCTCGCTATGTCGATCGATACATTCTCCGTCATTATCGATCATTCTCCACCATGCTCGATTATGTTGGCTAGTGCGTACTCCATCGATCTCCGCCATGCTTGGTCATGTTAGCTGATGTGCTCTTTGCCATTCTCCATCAGTCTTCACCATGCCCCAACCATGTTGGCTAATGTATTCTCCAGCAATCTCCACCATGCTTAATCGTGCTAATTGATGCATTCTCCATTGGTCTTCGCCACGACCAACAATGTTGGCCTAGTGCACCCTCCACCTCCAATGTTGTAATTGATCACCCTGACTCTACTTCCCAGCCCGATTCCACTGGGGTGTGGTGTGTGACATAATGGAATTGATGTAGTCGACACGTCGACTCTATGAGACATCTAAAACGCAAAGGACACATAAGTTAGATAGTTGGTGAGCCAACAACCTCCTACTATTGGGACTTGAAACGATCGATTGACTATGTCATTTGTCAATCCTAATGAGCGACAGGTTTGGGTGAGAATGGTTTTAGCCGACTCCTATGCCCTTTATTGTTTCACTAATTATATAATAAATGAGTATAACGACTCTAGGTGACCACTATAAAAAAGAGCCTCAAGTACATTCCAAGGAGATTGGTTTTTCAGTCTAACTTGTCCGACTAGCTATTGACTCGATCTTCGAATGGGCGTTTATCGAGAGGTCAATTCATAGAAGAATCAAGCTACGACTCGGCTCTTAAGTCGAACAACCGTAATATGCTCTAACACTCATACACCATTATGATATATTTTTAGACTTATGGTTGGTTTGGTTAAAGTTAGAAATCAATATGGATCATTTTAAATATTACAATATTTTTATTATGTGATCAAAACACTTTAATAAGTTAAATTTTCATCATATTTGGATAAAGTTATTTCTAACTACTACAAATAGCTATTTGAATCCATATATCAAATGATTTATTTCATTTGGTTTATTTACAGTATTATTATTATTATTATTATTATTATTATTAATCCCATTGTCTCTGAATTCTCGTTCAAGCAGTTACAATAATATGAACTAAACATTGATGCCGTGCCTCAGTGGCAAAAGCAATCAAAGAATTAATCGTGCAGTCTTTTATACATAGAAAGATCAAACCTTTGATGTCTGTGTAAGAGTATAAAAGAATCTGTAAGAGAAATGATGCAGAGACCATCAGATTTGGCTGAGATGTGCAGAGGAGCTGCCTGCAACATCCACAGGAACCCATGCAGAGACTGTGTACAGAGGCTGATGCAGCCACTTGAGAGTGAGTCCATGGCCTTCCCCTTCCACATCTATGCTGTACTTGTCGCAGGAATACATCCTCAGTATCATACGACTCTGAAGCATCTCCCTTTCTCCGATGCCTAAGCATGTAAACCCACCTTCCTGCGTCATCCTCCTCCTCCACCCCTGGAAACTCTCGTGCCTCTCGATCCTCTCGTCTCCTTCACAAGCAACTATGTTTCTGATCTCCTTGGCGAACAACTCCTCCACCTTGATCCTGGCATGGCTGTCCTGAGGGAGAACATCATCCAAAGAATCGAAGATGGCTGCGTAGTGGTTGAGTGATCTCGCTAACCTCCTCCCCCAGTCTGGTTCGTTGTGCTCTGCTTCCTGTTCCGCCATTACCACAGTCGCTGGGTTCGTGCTCCTTATCAGACCCAGCAAATCCATGAAAGCCTTTCCGCTCTCATCGTGCAGCGCCCTGTGCATCATTAGGCTGCAGCTCACGGCCACGCACTCCTCCCTCTTCACATGAAGCATCCAGAGCCTGAGATCCTCGAATCTGTCCACCACCGGGTGGAACTCGAATGGGAGGTGCAACGACTCTGCGATCCTCGCGAGCCTGACTCCGGTGGCGTGGAGGTCGGGTCTGGACTCGCCGACGCCGGTGATCCGCACGTGGCTGGGAGGACGAGGCCTGGAAGCTAAGCTCTGGAGTAAGCTCGGCCACTGGAGACCTTGCTTGATGTCCAAGTCTATGACGTGCACTCTGTCCCTACCTTCGAATGCCTTCAGCAGCATCTCATTCAGCGTGAAGTGGAGGAATTTGGGGATGGGGCTGATGAGATCGAGGAGCTGCAGCGCTGTGGCGTCGTCTTCCTCACTGGCGTCGATGAGGCGCCTCGGAGGAGCATTGATGGTGAAGATGTGAGGATAGAGCCTTGCGACCCGGAGCGCCAAGGACTCGGTGAAGTAGGCGACCAAGCGATGAACAGGGGTGCCCATCGGAGTGGCCATGTCTCCCAGTCTACCTAAGAAATAGTTGATGGCTTCGTAGTTTCCGGAGCTGATGGAGTCGGCGCAGGACGTGAGCAAGCTCACGAGTTCATGGCCCTGCAGCTCCGTCTCGCCACCCTCTCCTTCTTCACCTCCTACCTCAGCAACACCGGGAGCAGAACGAGCACGAGGCTCATTGGACGTCACATTGCCAAAGGAATTGCATGCACCCGACGATGAACTCGAATCGGACGGAGAAGTGTCATTCGAATCGGCACCTCATGTGGTCCACTCGTTCCGAGGACCATTAACAGATCGTAAAAGAGAAGAGCTCGAGCATGTTGAAACTTCCACCAACGGAGGCCCTTCGCTCTCGGCGTCGACTAATCCTGCAACGCCGCCGGTCCTCGTCCGCTTGGCTCGGCGGTGGTGGAGCGAACTCCTGTCGTAGACTCTCTTCAAGCCCCTCCTCTGCTCCCGAGGCCGGCCACCGGCATCGGTGATCTCAATGGTTCCTCCCCACGAGTGTGCTGGCGCCACTACGGATGACGACGAAGAAATGAAGCATTCTTGAATGCAACTTATCCTTAGAGGAAGAAGTAACCTGGATTCGGAAACATTAGCGAGGAGCGAGCACAGAGCCATGGTCACTCCACAGCGGAGCTCGTACGGGTCCTCTGGTCACCGTAGAAGCCTCTGAGTCTCCACCAGGCATGGCCGCTGGCTCGATGACCTGAGCGACCTGAGCAAGACGACGGAGAGAGGAAGAGAAAGAAGGAAAAGAGAAACTTTAACGTCAACTTCGATTCGCTACTGTTGATTGCAGAGACTAAATGAAAGCTTTAAGAAGGGAGAAAGCAGAGATTTATGGTGTGGTGTTCGTCCTCCTTCCATCTCCCTCCCGCTGCTGCGTTGCTGCACCGGACGAACCGATCGCCACGGACTTCACCAGGCCACGGGGAAAACGCCGGCCGTCGGGGAGTGGGGGAGGGATCCTCGGGACCCATCCGGTTCACGACATCCGGTCGTACGATGTGGATCGGACGGATAGGGAGAGGGATGGATTCTGACCATTGGAAGTAGACAAACATGACCGCGTCGGAGGTGACCGGAATGAAGCTTCGTGACTCTCACGTTAGAGAGGATCGGCTGTGATGGCCCAGTCACGGGCCGCTCGAAGAAGCCGGGATGATCTGTCGACGCGTGAGCGATGAGGCTACATTATGGGTGGTTGAGGCGTCCCGTGTTGGACGTGGATCTGCTGATCCGTGGACTCCGCAAAGCGGGAGCCGAACCATCGCTTGGCCGTAAACGAGGGTTTATTTCGTCGCGAAGCGTGAGGAAAGATTGGCTGTGGAGGCCCCGGCACGACATGGGACGAGTTACCGACGCGTGTTTCGTTTGGCGGTGGGACGAAGCGGTGGATTGGGCGGAAGTAAGCGTTGCCGTTTGGTCCCGCTTGATGAGAAGAGCTACCCACCCCTCCCCTTCAACGTGTGCTTCTCCGTCGTCATAAACATCGAACAGGCTTTTTTGTCGTGTCGTGTTAGATAGAAGTCGAGTTCATGTACACTTCCATGGAAGTTTAATTCACATGCATCGGTCACGAAAAAGGAGAACACATGTTGGCTCACGGTAGATGATGATAAGCGACTTTGGTAAATAGATTGCAGTCGAAATCATTTTACGTAGAGGTCTTCTCATCAGCACAATGGATACAAATAAAAATTCAAGATCACCACCACAACAATAACAAGAATAATAAAACCATTTACATCAATTAGTTCGGTCAACTACATGATTTTTTGTTTTTATTCGTTATTAAGATAAGTAATAAAAACCACAATGTATGTATGTATATCTGAATGATCTCCAACCAAAAACATTTGGATATCACAACATGAGACTTGCAGGCAAAAAATAAAAATAAAAACATAAGACTCGGAATTTGAATTCTTCATCAACATCACATTGGAGGGAGGGTATTAACAGGATCTTCAACACGTATTAGATGACTCAAAAGGCAACATCAAAAGTTCAAGCTATAGCATAAACACGGAATGCACATTTAGGGTGGTAATGAGATGGAAGTCCAAATGGCCAAACTCGAAAATTGCCTACTCGAGAAACTTCCTTGTCATAAGCTTAACAGCATACACCAAAGAGTGAAAATCACAAATCGCAACTATACATTGGTCGAAAAACAACATATTAACTAAACCTTCCAACCATATCCCATGTCACTGGGATCACCACTGAACATTCCGTTCTCAAAGTCTTTAGCAATGTGTCCGAGTTCTGGCACATCCATGTTGTGTGTCGAATCCGCTCTAGAATTAAGATTGTTGCCGCTGATGCTAGGGTGGCTGGAAACAGATTTAAAACTGTTGCTTCTGCTTGGCACCATTCCCATGGAATTATTAGGCATGTCACCGTGCATATTGAGAAACTCGGTACCTTTTCCAACAGACCCAGGGTTCATTCTGACTGGAACGCCGGTAATGCCACCTCCAGGTACCTCTGGAGCTACCAAACCATTGGCATTGGGAGCACCGACAGACTGTTGCAGTCCACCCCTATTGTTATTTATCACTTGTTGCAGCATTTGTTGAATTACATGTTGCTGCAAGTGTTGGTTCACCTGGGAGGGATGCAGATTATTCTGCAAGGGCAAGCGTCGATCTAATGGAGTTTGCTGCTGTGCAGAAATGTTAACAGAGGCGTTTGTCTGAATGGATGAAGCAGAACCTTGAAATTGCATAGGCTGTACCTGTTTGGGACCACCGATAAGGCCCAATTGTTCCTGTGGTAGCATACTCTGATTCGAATTGGGAGAACTTCTCAGTAGGTTATGGTAATTGTTCAGTGCCAGAACACTCGGTTGGTTGCTGTTAAGAACACGTCTAGCTACCAAGTTATTGTTCATATGATTGTTTAAGCCTGACTGGATGCCCATGACTTTATTCAGCATGCTCTGGTCAGATGGCAGACTGTGAGCACCCGCCATCAGTTGCCCTGAATCCTGCAAAGTTTGTCTTTGGAGCTTTGCTGTAGCCTGACTTGTGTAGTTCTTCAAGCTATCTGCATCAAATATTATCATACAAGTAAAACAAAAATGCTTCCAATCATCATTAATTGTACAATGATTGATGCTTTCTGCAGCAAATGATGCTGTACAATTATAAAAATAAATAATGCTCGCTTTCTTCCGCTACCTCTATATACAAAAGGGTAACTTTTCACCATGCCCCAGCAAATACAAGCAGCAATTGAACTAGAACTTGCATTTTGTAGGATTTAAACAGAGGAGAAATACAAAGAAAATGTATCTTAAACACAGTATAAAATAGATAGCAGCGAGCAAGAAATGATCTCTTTCAAATAGCAACTGGGGCTCATGTTGCCACCGTTTCGTATATCTCAACCTACATCCAAATTCTAACCCAGCAAGCTTAAAATTTGATCAACACCAAAATTCTCACCATTTACACTCCATAATATGCAAAATCCCAATCACCCTCCTCAAGTCTATGACCTTATCTAAGCTCTATCCCAACAGTTCTAGAAACATAGGCAACTAATTTCAACATAAATTAGCTGATGATAAGATATAGAAAACTAATTTCAGCATAAATTACCTCATAAACTAAGTTTTAGTGTGACTTAATATATTCGGCAAATATCACCTGTCATGTACTTTTTCCTCTTAATTACAATCTAAACAAAGCATCAATAGCTTAATCTTGGTCAGATAAGTTAATAACAGGCTGGAAGACCAAATCACAATATTAGGTATACGTTACAAAAAAAAATAGTTTTCTGTTTAGATTCTTTAGACAATTTGGAACCAGTAGAAAACTTTAATACTAAAAATGATAGTTGTCTCCATCAAATTTTGAGCTAACATACTCCGTTCCTTCTGGCCATCCTTTGGTACCTAGGTATAGAGCCCTGTCGATGTCAACACCATCACGACAACCATCGCTACCACCACTGTCATTGGCAACATTTCTAATAGCGCACCTATGACCAAGGCCATCATGACCACCACCCACTATCACCATTGTTGGTGTCATTGTTGCCCTGCCACCATCACTGCTAACATCACCAATACTGTTGCCATGACTAACAATAATGTCATGTCAGCAAGTTATATCGGCCTGTGTTCATGTTTAATTAGATGCATATACTAAAAAAAGCCCTCAATTCAAACCATACCCATTTAACAAACATGCCAAAAATTCAAACCCAAACTAAACACGCCTAATTTACATGTAAACCAACCTGTGGCCTGTGTGACCCCTTTAATAAAGAAGTCACATTAAATTATTATAAAAATGTGATGTTAACCTGTTCTCAACAAGACTTGACCTACCTACATGATCCAGCCTCGACAAACAATCAAAACAACTAACTGGCAATTTAAATTGGCCTATTTACAAGTACCGAACATAATGATATCGACAAGACAGCATGGAAATGAAACACTGAACACATTTAAACCAGTTATTAATTCAGTGAATTCCAGTCAGCCATCTCAACTGCCTACCCAAACCCAATCTAGTAAATAATCGGGTCAATCAAATGCCAACTCACTTATGACCCAACCACTACCACCATACCGTCCAATCATCAATTGAAAATTTGATTCAAATTTGACTTAAGCTGGATCAAGCTATGCCATGTCTAATCTACCTACAGGTATAGAGGAAGTAGTAATGCTAGTACAGGTGTGGTGGTGACGAAGGGCATACCGAGTGCACAGAATATGAGGTCTGGGAGGATCAATGTACGCAGCCTTACTATAAAGATAATGGCAGTCAGTGTTGGTGCAATAGTGCCATAATGGTGGTGGCGATGGCATAAGACCAGCTACGAGCTGATCATTTCATCCATGGTCCATCTTGTACAGGTGTGGTGGTGACACCATGGAGATAACGGCGATAGTGGTGCCATAATGGTGGTGACAGTGGCACAAGACCAGCTACAAGCTGATCATTTTGTCCTTGGTCTGTCTTGTATAGATCCTGTGAACTAGGTGAAGTATCCTACAGCTCATGAAACATGGATCCTTCCAAATACTTACCATGTCATAATCATGACATACACATTGTACACTATAATACACATATGTAGCACATGTGTTATCTCATCATCTATGCTAATGCAACGAATATATAGAGAACAGATGCATATCTCAAATTTACTGCTGTTAATTAGCTAATTATTTTTCCGATCAAATAAATGGTCAGGTTGGCCATGATTTATGTGAACTAATAACTGGTTTTTGGTTATAAGTAGGACAAGTACGATAGAATTGTCAAGTCAGGTCCAAGTCAATTTGAGTTTACACAATGTATGCAAAATAAAACTAAAAAAAGGAAATCATCAATAAATCTTCACAAATCTAGTGCATATCGGAAGGAGAAAAGAACACATAATAGATAGAAAACAAGACAACAATCTTGCAACAGAATTAAAAAGCTAGAAACATTGAGACCATGCTACTGTTGCAAAAAACATTTTGTGCCACTAGTTGAATGTTACTTTCAGCAAACTAAGTTTTCAGAAACAATTAAATTTCTCAACATATACATTCTTCAAGAAGGTAACTAAGAAAATTAAGTAATACATCAAGCCTAATT